AGTCATCAGGTCTGCTCTTCACAGAGCTGTTTTTAGGTCACCATCCCTTCCTCAGAAGTCTCAGCTGACCCTTTTTATGCTTCCAGAACCAGGTTAGTGAATCCCTATTTTAGGTTCTATCCCCTTACATAACACAACCTTAAAATGGCAGCTTCTTCGCCTGGATGGAACTCACTCTATTTTTATTTATTTATTTATTTGTCAAGCATGTATTAGATAACAGATATAAGCAGTGGTGGGTTGCCCCCGGTTTGACCGGTTCTATAGAACCGGTAGTAAAACCGGCGGGAGGCTCGGCCCACCAACCTCGACGTCACCAAAACGCTTCTGAATATGTGCGGCCCCGCTGTGAACTGGTAGTAAAGATAAGTAGAACCCACCCCTGGATATAAGTATAAACATGATTATGAATACATGAAATGGATACGAATAAATGGGGACATTAGGACAGGGATGGTAGGCACATTGGTGCGCTTATGCACCCCCCTACAGACCTCTTAGGAATGGGGTGAGGTCAACAGTAGACAGTCTAAGGTTAAAGTTATGGGGGTTTGGGGAAGAAACCACAGAGTCAGGTAGTGCATTCCAGGCATTGACCACTCTCTTGCTAAAGTCGTATTTTCTACAATCAAGTTTGGAACGGTTTACCTTAAGTTTGTATCTATTGTGTGCTTGTGTATTGTTGTAGTTGAAGCTGAAGTAGTCATTGACAGGTAGGACATTGTAGCAGATAATTTTATGTACTATGCTTAGATCAGACTGAACGCAGCGTAGTTCTAAATTGTCTAAACCCAAAATTTCAAGCCTGGTGGCAAGCAGAGGAGTAGAGGACCCTTCTCGCAAAATATCTTTGGACTCTCTCAATTGTATTAATGTCCAATATGCAGTACGGGACTCTCAAACCTGTCCATGCATTTATATTGCCTTGGTACCTAAATTTACTGGAGTATAAGGCCTTTAGAAATGGATGTCAGTATGGAGGTTATAATCACTGCCCAGTCTTGGGATCTTAAATTAGAAAAATCTGAGATACCTCAATCCCGTGGCAACTCTGTGGCATTTCTATCAGGAACGGGTTTCAAAACTCATCGCTACCAGTTCGCTCATGGACGCGCATATGCGACATTTCTGCACATGCGCAGAAGTGTCCAGGCACGTGGGAGAGCCTCCTGCTGCCACCGCTATGGGTTCACCCGATCCGGGGTGAACCGGTAGCAACCCACCACTAATTTCTAGGTCTCCAGATCGGTCATGGAACTTGGGTCTCCTGTTGGCATTAATATTTCCTTCAATCACCAGCATTTCTTTAGGTCAGTACTATTTCTGAAATCTGGAGCCATGACAATATTACTTATTATTGTATACAATAGCGGAAAAGTAAACTGCATATCAGTTGAACATCAAATGTGAGGATTTAAAAGATCTGAATATATCAGCAGAGGTGTGACCCCAGAAAATCTCAGCTGCCATTTTATTTAAGAACTCTGTGCCATACCTGGCTAATTTACAACAGTAAAATAATAGAAGAAAGCAAAAGTCCTATATTAATAAAATGTAAATAATCCATACTGAAATAACTTCGGGGAGCTGAACAGACTGCAGACTACTCTCAAGTGATTGTGTGCGTACACATGTACGCACGAGCCTGCCTAGCTCCTAAATGATGACACCTAAGCACCATCTCCACCCACCCACCACCCAATCGTTTTGACGTCATTGTGATTAGGAACAGACATCTATGTTTCTATGCAAATTACAGATAATTTAGATTAGATTAGATTTAATCCAGATTAAAGCCCCAGAGGCTAGGAAAAGGCTTAAGAAGGACATTCTAATCCCTGTACTGAAGTATCATATCTTCCCATTTCAATGGAACGGTTCACGTTCTTAAAACAATTAGTGGTTACAAATCGAAATAGCAGAGCAAAGTTAGCATACATCATATCATTTATAAGCAATTAATACACAGCAGTGGTGTGCCTTCTCTTTTGCTTTGCAGTTACAGCTGAATTCCGTTGTTTCCTCATTAATATTGTGTTTCCCATGTTTTCACTTGCCTCGTTTTCTGCAATTATTGCCGGATCCTAATGACCCAGGATGAAACAACCTAGTTTGTCATTACTGTCACAAGACCATTGTTACACATCTGCCTCTCAATAAAAAAGACAGAAGGGATGTTATTTCATTAGCATTGTACTTTTATGAATATCATAACTTATTTTGTTGCCTGAAATTTCTTGTCTGCAGGTTTCCCCTGGATTTCGTCTGCTGCTTCCCTTAAACAACAAAATAAACTAACTTTTAGCTAGAAGCCAAAACAGAAAAAAGAATCAGCATGATTAAGAGAGGCCCAAAATTCATGCGATGCACATAATTGTTCCTTTTTAAACAAAATCCCTTTAAAAAGGAAAACAAAAAACAAGTGTGATGAGGACCATGTATGCTCTAGAACCTGGGATGCTGAGAATCACCGCAGGAAGAAAACCTGGGATCCAGGAGGATTGTCTGGCTGGATCACACAAGTGAACTCAAGAGCCACCAGGATAAAAGGGCCAAATGACATTCTGTTTTTAATCTATTGGAACACTGGTAAGTTTCAGGAATTGACACAAAGTTAAATAAGAAATGTACTGATATTCAGAACATCGGAGAAAGAAGGGCTGATTGATTCAGACAGTCTCCCTTAACTGTCTTTGCTATTCATGCCAAACAGTCAAATATCTGATTGAAAATTCAGAAGCGGTACAAAAAAATTCTCCGAGAAGGGCAAGCGGCACTGCTTTTTCCTGGAAGCTTATTTGAAATTATTAAATGGTAGAGAGAGTTAAATCCAGTAGGCCTGATGTTACTGATTTTTATTTTACTGAGAAAATGCATTCCTAAGGCAACAGTCCCACTTCCGAAGAAAGACACATTCCTTATTTGTTGTGATGATGTGAAGGGGGAAAACAAATACTGTTCTTAAATAAGATATCGTCTTTGAAACTCTGGAGAGAGGCGAGGGGAAAACAGGGGCATCTCTAAGGCTAAAACTGAGCTAGGGATAACCAATTGTTGAAAGTAAAATCTGGTCCAGTTCCAAGCCGGGAGAAAGACGCTGGGGAAAAAAATGGAAGCAGGCTGCAGGAAAGGAGGTGTCCATTTATTTGATAGCCAGAAACAACAGTGACAGCAGCATGTTTCTGGGGTGGCTGACAGCCTGGCATGGTGAGTAGAGTGGTTTTTATACCCTTCTGGACTTGTGAGATTGAGATGCCTCGTAGGGTTATTTGATTAGATTTATAATCTGGCTTTCTGTATTCTAATTGTCCCTATTTGGTCTCCTTGGTGGTGGTCAGGGTCAAGGCTAGCCTTGGGGGAAGGTGGAGAGTGTAAATTCTGTGTGGCTTGGTATTTTCTGACTTAACCCTGTCAATTCAACCTGTCTCAGTCTTCTAACTGGTAATACTTGAAGCCATTCTGCCTGGGAGGCAGGTATTGCTTTAGCTTCTGTGGATGGTTTTTCTTTGTCTTCTCTGAGGTCATGGAAATAAATGGGGGGGGAGTCTTCTGATTCTTCCTACACTAGACTCTGAAACCAGAACTGAGATCCATAAAATATATAGAAATTTCCCTCAATCTTTTAAAGCAATGTATTACACTATTCCTTCTCTTAATCCATTACACTGTGAGGGTCATACCAAACTGAGACCTCTCTGTCCTGTTTCCCCACGAGGTCATAAAATGGCTCAGAGGCAGCCCCACTAGGACTGTAGGGTTAGCATGTTACGAGGGATGGTGGATCAGGCCCAATAAAGAGACTTGAGTCATCAAGTAGAATATCTCTCTTTTATTTACAGGTTCATCATATCATCACTTGGGTACATCAGGAACTGGAACATGGAGGAGCGTGCCCACCTTTTATACCTGTGGGCGGGGATCCAGGTAAGGAGGGGTCTATGGGAGGAGCTGACCTGTTGGGTGTCTGGGTTAACCCTTGCACTACTGCGCTATAGCTGATCCCAGGCACGGGCAGAGCATTTATGCCTGACAAATCCCCCTCTAAATGCCTGACCCGTGTCTGTAGGCCCGACTGACTGGTTGGTACCCTGGGGTGGATGTTGAGCTTGGAAACTAAGTGTGAGTGTTGCTTGCCCTGTAGGGGTTTCGTGAGTATGTCTGCGGTCTGCTCTTCTGTATCGCAGTGTATAGCCTTTATGAAACCAATTCTGGAGAGCTGTCTAACGTGCTTATACTTAATGTCTATGTGCCTTGACCTTTGCCCTACAGCGTCGGACATGGATATCTCTATGGCGGCTTTGTTATCTTCGTAGATATTTATTGGGTAAGCTGGTTCTCTCCACACGCTGGCGAGTAGGTCGTCGAACCAGATGAGGTTGTTGGCGGCTTTGGAGAGGCATATGTATTCAGCTTCAGTAGTCGAGGTTGCCACCAAGATTTGTTTGCCTGTGTACCAATGCACCGGACAGTTATTTAAGTAGAATATGTACCCAGACGTGCTTTTGCGGCCTTTGGCGTCTCCGGCCCAGTCAGCATCAGCGTAGCATGAGAGGATGGGTTCTTCGGATTTTTCAGGTTCTAGTGTTAAGCATGCATTGACACTCTGTTTCAGGTATCTTAGCACTCTTTTCACTGCGTCCCAGTGGTATGTGGTGGGTTTGCTCACGTGCCTGGACAGTAAATTAACGGATAGAGCAATGTCTGGTCTTGTCCAGTTAGCGATATACAGGAGGGAGCCTATGATTGATCTGTACAGCGTGTTGTCTCCAAATTCGGGTGATTCATCATGCATGTTTTTTAGGAAGTCCGCCTGCATGGGTGAATCACATCCCTTGGCGTCTGCCATGTTGCACTTATGGAGTAACTCTTCTATTTTCTCTTTCTGTGACAGTTGGAAACCCTTTGGTATTTGGTTGACTTGTACCCCCAGGTATCGGTTTATCCTCCCAAGGTACTTTAGGGTGAAATGCTCACTCAGCCTGCTGGCGAAGGTGTTGCGGTTGGCTTCGTGTTTGCTGATGTATAGAATGTCATCCACGTAAACTAGGATGTATTCTGGTGAGTCCCCCCCTTTCCTGGTGAAGAAACAGTTGTCAGCTATGGTCGCCGTGAATCCCATAGACTTCAGGGCCTCTACCAGGCATTCGTACCATCGTTTGCCTGATTGTTTTAGTCCGTATAGGCTCTTATGAAGTAACCAGGTGTCCCCTCTGTTGGTTTCTTTGCTGTGGGGGGCTCTGATGTATATCTCTTTGTCTAGTTTGGCGTGCAGGTAGGCGGTCTGCACGTCGAACTGGTGCACCTCCAGCCCTAGTAAGGATGCGATGACCAAGGCGCTTTTGACGCTTTCTGTTCTTACGGTGGGCGAATAGGTGTCTGTGTAGTCCTCCGGAAACCTTTGGGCAAACCCCTGGGCAACTAATCTTGCTTTGTATAGGCTTTGGCCGCCCTCTAAGTTCTTGACTTTGAAGATCCACCGGGTGCCTATTGTGTTCTTGCCCTCTGGGACTTTGGTGGGGGTGTATACCTCCAGCTTCCTCAGGCTGTCCAGTTCTTTGGCCATGGCTAACTCCCACTTTGCCCTCTCCCCTTGGGGTAGTCTCAGTACCTCTTCGTAGGAGTTTGGCGTAACATGGTTCGTGTGCACGTGCATCACGTAGTCATTTAGCCTTCTTGGCAGCTGGTTTCTGGTTGACCTGACCGGTCTGGTTGCTGTCTGCTCAGTGTCATGCAGATATCTGGCCTCTCTTTGTGTCAGTGATTCGACACTTATCTTGGGATGATTCTCTTTCCATCCCTCAACCTTGATGTCTTGGAGGTTGGGCTTGGGCCTGCTCCCTTCCTGTCTACCCACTGTCTCGTTTTTGTTTTGATTTTGCTCGATTGGACTATCCTCCCGCTTGGTGGGTACCTCATTTAAGTGTATTCTGGACCAGTTGGCTTGCTCATGGAATGCCGCTGTTCTAGAGACCACAAACCTATTATTGCTGTCCACAAACCTGAAGCCCTTGGTTCCTGGCTCGTATCCCATGAACCTGAGCCTTCTGGATACCTTATCCCCTTTCTTGCGCAACTGCTTGGGTATGTGTACATCAGCAGTTACACCGAACACATGTAGGTGTGCTATCCGTGGCTTCATGTTATACATGATCTCGTACGGTGTTTTGTCTATCACACTGGACCACGTTCTATTTAGAGTGTAGTTGGAGTAGACCAGGGCTTCAGACCAGAAGTGTTGGCCAATGCCCACGTCCTCTAAGGCGCACCTGACCATCGTTTGCAGCGTGGAGTTCCGTCGTTCTGCGACCCCGTTCTGAAAGGCGGAAAACGGGGACGACGTAAAGTGAATCACGCCTTTGGACCTGAGCCAATGGGAGAAGTCCTTAGATAGAAACTCAGACCCTCTGTCGGTCATGATTTGTTTGATTTGTTTGTTGTTTTGGGTTTCTACCCTTTTATAAAACTCTTTAAATTTTTGGAAGGCCTCATCCTTTTTTCTTAAGGTGTAGACGAAGCCATATCGACTGTAGTCATCCACTATGGTGAGGAAGTATTTTTTCTTATAATTTATGGATGGCCTTAGGGGCCCTACCAGGTCCATGTGTACTAAGTCGAATATTTGTTTGGCGGCACGTAACGACTTCTTGGGTCTGGGTTTTACCTTTAGTTTTGAACACTTGCACACCGAGCACTCGAGGTACTTTTCACAGTTTTTTATTATGACACCCTCGGTACAATTAGCCATTTTCTGTATCACGGGAAAACTGGCGTGTCCAAGCTTCCGGTGCAGCAGATGGGCACAGTCGTCATGCATTGGTTTGCCTATAGAGGGCCTCTTTTGGGTGTGTTTGTTGTGTTGTGTTTCAGGTGTCGTGTTGTCATCGCTATCTATCTATCTCTCGCCTACCTGTTCACCCTCAGTCCTGTCTTGGTCAGTGTCCTCTGCGTCCTCTGAACTGGTGTTTATGCTGTGGGTGTAATCCTCATGGAAAGTTATGTAAGGTAACCCTTGGTTAACGGTTACTCTTCCTACATCTTCCCCATCCTTGCTAACTTTGACATTGCCTTTTGTGAAGGTCACCTCAACTCCTGATTCCTTGCTGAGCTTTACTGCGGCCAGGATGTTGTGGGGTATCTCCAGGACTAGCAGTACCCCCTCTATTTTCCCTACGCCTGGTAATGTGATTGTCCCTTTGCCTGTTACTCTAACCTGGTTTTGGTCCGCAACTTTGATCGAAAAATCCTCCCTCTTGAAAGATGAGAGTAGTTTCTGGTTGTAGGTGGTGTGGTTGGAGGCTCCCGAGTCCAGGAGCCATGAGCTGGTGTCTTTGTCTTGGTGTGTGTTGTGCGTGTGCTCCCCTATCCCGTATAGAGACCCTGTCCTGCTGTCGCGTGAGCTGTCTCTGTTCCCCCTCTTATCCCTGGGAATGGGTGAGTCTCTACGCCTATACCTTTCTTCGGATGTGTGCCTTTCTGTTTGTCTGTACCTATGCTCTGGCCTGCCTCTCTCCCTATAGTTCTTGGGGCAGTCCCTTTTGATGTGTCCCCTCGACCCGCAGATGTAGCACTCGGGTGTGTTGTGTTGTTTCTCTTGGAAGACTACTCTCTTTTCACTCTTGTGTTCTCTGGGAGGGCCGGGGCGGCTCCTCCTCAGATTATCTTCTGCGATAAGTTTGTTGGATAGCTTGTCCACGGATAGCATCCCTAGGCTAACAGTGTCTAAGTGTGTCAGGAAGTTATTCCATGAGTGATCTAAAGAGTTGATTATCACACTCTTCATGATTTGGTCGGAAATAACTTCTCCCCTAAGGTGTAGCTCTGCTCTGGTACCGCTTAAGGACACTAGGTGCTCACTCATGGGGGTCCCTGGCTTAAGTCTGGCGGAAAAGAAGTCTTTGGAAATTTGTGTGGTGGTGGACACACTCTCACTGTAAAACAATCCAAACATTTTCCCTATAATTTCTGATACTGTGAGGTTATGGCCAATACAGTGGTAAATTGTGGGGGAAATACTGGCAATTAAAAGATAGAATGCCCTATGGTGCATGCAATCCAGCTCTAAAGTCCATGGCCTCTCTGGGGGGTCATTAATAAAATGAGACATGTTTTCTTTCAGAAACACCACCTGGAGCTGCTGTGACCACTCTAGGATATTGCCCCCATCCATCCTCAACTTGGGAAAGTCTACTGGTAAGTTTCCAGCACTATTAGTAAAGTTACTTACTGCTGGCTGCTGTCCATGGTTCCTTATGTGCCTATAGCAGCAGTAAGGCATGGGAACGCTTGCCGGTAGTTTAAAAGTCCCGCTTTGTAATTTTTTTCTTTTTTCTTCCTCTAGGCGGAAGAGCGCATGCGCGAAGTCCATTTCAGCTCCGCCGTCGCCGAGGAAGGACCTGTTCATCGCGGCTCCGCTGTAGAGGCCTCTGCCAGTCGGGTAGGCCTCGGCTTCGGACTTGGGGGTCCAGGTGTGCTCCGGAGGGCGTCGTCCAGCGGCTGCTTCTCCGGAGTGAAGATCCTGGCGGCGTTGAGGCTCCGGTGATGGCTGTAAGTAGCTGCCCCAGTCTGCGCGGTCCGGGGTGTGCGGCCTGGGCGATCGGAGGCGCGGTGTCCCTGGGGTGCGTAGGTGGGCTGGCGGGCTGGCACGGGCGTCGGTGGCTCTCGGGTGGGTGCTTCGTTGCCCCTCTCCTCGCCTTCCTTTCTGTTTTGGCCTCTCCGGCTTCTCTTTTGTAATTTTGAGGCCTGGGCCGAAGGCGGCGGCAAGGGTCTTCATGGCCCTATCCACTTGCCGCTCGCTGGGGGTGTACCAGGGGTCAGAGTCGGATTCGGTCCCCTCTCCCCGGTCACTTTCCTCGTGGTTCATGGTCCGGCATTTTTCGCGCGCCGGCCATTTTGAACTCTGGCTTTCGATTGGTTGGAGGTCGGCCATCTTGTCCGAGCACGTGGACAAAGATGGCCGCCGTTTCAAATCTAGAGCGGGGCTTTGGGGCTCGGTGGCCGTTGGAAGTGCCCTCTTGGGCGATCCACTCACCGAGTCCAGCTCCTCGAGTTCTGAGTCCGAGCCTTCTTCACTCCTTGCCGCCTCGCGATCGAGTATGAAGCTCCGCAGGTCGGCAAGGAGGTTTTTGTCGCCAGCTCTCTCCTTCAACAGCTGCAGGACGTCGAGTCGCAGCTCCTCTCCTTCTTGGTCGCCGTGGTGGCCCCTTTTCCTTTTCTCGATCTCCCCCTTTTCTTCCGTTGCGGTGGTTTTGGGGGTGGTTGAGGATCCTGCCTTCCCTGGCGAGTCCGGCGGGTTGCCTTCCCGTTCCTTCGGGGGTGTCGCCATTCTGCAGGTAGGTATGGGTCCTTGTCTTGTGGCTTGGGATCTTTGGGCCTTACCAACCATCCTCTGCTACCATTTTGTTACGAGGGATGGTGGATCAGGCCCAATAAAGAGACTTGAGTCATCAAGTAGAATATCTCTCTTTTATTTACAGGTTCATCATATCATCACTTGGGTACATCAGGAACTGGAACATGGAGGAGCGTGCCCACCTTTTATACCTGTGGGCGGGGATCCAGGTAAGGAGGGGTCTATGGGAGGAGCTGACCTGTTGGGTGTCTGGGTTAACCCTTGCACTACTGCGCTATAGCTGATCCCAGGCACGGGCAGAGCATTTATGCCTGACATAGCAGCTCCCAATAGAGCATACTTCTTGAACCCCAGAATTCCCACTTCCTGCCCTTTCACCCATTCTCTCATCCTTTAGAGTCTCAGATCTAGTTATCTCAGATTAACAGAGTTGGAAGGGACCTTGTAGGTCATCTAGTCCATCAAGTCATTGATATAGTGTGGTTTTGGTATTCCCTCTGCACAGTGGCCAACTAGGGATTGAAGCAACTATTTTCCTAGCTGTGAAAGTAATCCACAGTGAGGGAAGAACAAGAAACAGCTGGGCAGTAACCAGCTGCCAGTTTAGCAGCCTCCCATTGATAAATTGGAAGAACTACTGGTTGGTTTAAAGAGTGGACACAAAAGATAATTACCAAGGATTGGGAAAGAAGTAAGGCAGAGGTGAAATGCTCCTGGTTCGGACCAGATCACCCAATCCGGTAGCGATGGAGGCGGGTGGTTCGGAGAACCGGTAGCAAAAATCCCTGCCCCCCTCCCATTGCCCAGCTGAGCCGCGCAATCATCAGAGGCTTTTTTCTTATTTTTAAAAGCATTTTTTCTACAACCTCTTCGGCCAAAGAGGTTATAGAAAAAATGCTTTTAAATGTAAAAACAAAGCCTCTGCTGATCAGGCAAGTCAGCTAGGATCGTCAGAGGCTTAAAAAAAAAGAAAAAGCCTCTGCTGATCAGGCAAGTCAGCTGGGATCATCAGAGGCTTTAAAAGCATTTTTTCAGTCGAAGAGGTTGTAGAAAAATGGTTTTAAAAGTAAAAAAAAAAAAAAGTTGGCCATGCCCACTCAGTCATATTACACCACCACCACCAAGCCACGCCCACAGAACCGGTAGTAACAAAATTTACATTTCACCACTGAAGTATACAATACAAAGCTTTCAGACATATGGAAGACACTCCATTTTCTTTCTATAACTTCTTTCTGCAATCCTTCTACAGGTAAGGCCTTGACTTACAACAGTTTGTTTAGTGATCATTCGAAATTACAATGGCATTGAAAAAAGTGACTTATGATCGTTTTTCACACTTACGACTGTTGCGGCATCCCCATGTTCCTATGATCAAAATTCAGACACTGGGCAACTGACTCATATTTATGATGGATGCAGTATCCTGGGCTCATGGGATCATCTTTTGCAACCTTCTGACAAGCAAAGTCAATGGGGAAGCCAGGTTCACTTAACAATAGTGTTACTAACTTAACAACCCCCGTGATTTTAACTATGGCAAGAAATGTCATAAAATGTGGTGAAACTCACTTAACAACTGCCTTACTTAGCAGCAGAAATTCTGGGCTCAACTGTGGTTGTCAATCGAGAACTACCTGTACTACAGCTTTTCCTGTCCCCTTGTTTAAAAACTGCAGCATTCTTGCCATTGTTCTCTATTTTCTCTACTAAACTCAATATTTCCTCTGCTCTCCTCAGCTGCTGGTCCAAGATCAATTGGGTTAATCTAACCCAATTTCTCCATTCTGTATTATATGTCAAATATTGGAGCGGTGCTGTATATTTTGTAATTAATCTAACAGTGTTTTATTCAAGTCCCTGTTGTACACTGTACAGTGCTAGTATTCTCTCAGCGTGTGAAGAGCAATCTCTCTGTAATACATCCCATGTCTAGTTGAACATGGGCTGTGTCAGGGTGCAGATATGACTGGAGATGAGTAATCGAACAATTCGTCATTTGTTACTTATTGCTTTATTTCCTTGTCTTCCACGCACTTGTTCTTAAGTTTTCTTCTCCTTCATTTATCCTTTTCAAGACTTATTTTTTTTCACTCCATTGCCTCCACTGAATCTTCCTTTTAGCTGTCTCTCCTTTGGGTTTCTGTTCTGTTCTACACCTTGTTTCTCTCCGCAATCTTGAATTTACCACGTAAGGCTACTCTGGTCTGTAGCACATTTGTGAAAATTAAACCTGCCATTTGCCATCTCTTTCTCTCCAGAGAGTAGGTCTGTGAGCATTCCCATGATTTCCTTCTGCTACATATCAACACCTATACACCAACCTGTCAGAAGGGGTCTGGACATTTGATGTCATCACTCCAGCTCAGATTTTATGTTAGAGACTTGGCTGCCACAAGCAAATACATTTAATATTATACAGGTAGTCCTCATTTTACGAACAGTTGGTTAACAACTGTTCAAGCTACGACAGCCTTGGAAAGGGTGCCTGTAAAGCACTTTCAGCCATTGTAAAATGTCACCCTGGACCCCTGCGCAATCTCATGACCATATCCTGGTGTTTAGCATTATTTATTCACATGTACAACTGGTGCCCAGCATTCTGCACTCATGTGATCGCCATTTGCAATAATTTCTGCCTGCTTCCCCAGAAGGTCAATGGGGAAGACAGCAGTGAAGGTTGGAAGCTGCTACTGCCTGCCAACAGGACTCCCTCTCGTCTCTGGGGACCAGCTGAAAGAGCTGTCTGCTGAATGGAGGTCAACTCCTCTGTCGGCTCTAGAAATGGAGCTCGGATCTCAAAGATTCGAGTCCCGTTTCTGCAGCCCGGTGAAAACATTTTCTTCCACGCATGGAGAACCCCTCTGCCAGGCTGCAAAAATTAGACACAGATCCCTAAGATCCGAATCTTGTTTCTACAACTTGGCTGAGACATTCTCTTCTATGCATGGAAGGGTGCTGGAAAGCTAACAAACACCATCATTCTGAAGGTCTATGGAGATTCTCAATCCAGATTCTAAACTTTTCCAAAAGGCAACCGGGTTTTCCTTAAAGCATTTTGCTTCTCATCCAAGAAGCTTCTTCAGTTCTGACTTGGACAGTTCAGTCAGAACTGAAGTGGCTTCTTTTTTTTTTTTAATTTGATTTATATGCCGCCCTTCTCCGGAGACTCAGGGCGGCTTACAATGCGTTAAGCACTTGATTGAGAAGTGAAATGTTTTTAAGGAAAAGAACCAAGAAAGTCTAGTTGGTTTGGGGAAAGTACCTTTCGGGCACCATTCTGAAGGTTAAAAAGATTTTTAGCCCTCTGTCCAACGAGCGCCACTGCTCTGAAAGCTCGAAAGATTTGCAGCCTTCAAAATGGTCATCTCCACTAGCTTTCTAGCCCTAGGAAGGCTGGAAAGCTAGCAAAGACCACCCTTCTGAAAGCTGGGAAGGCTAGCAAATGCAATCATTCTTTTGATAAATTGGAAGGACCCTTCCCCAAATCACAGAATTTGAAGGAACAGCCTTCCAATAATTGCAAGAATGCCCCCCTCCAGAAAAAAGGCAAAGATAACCATGCATGGTGGGGAAGGGAGAGGGTCTGAACTTCCTTGCTGGGCCAGGAAAGGGGCTTGAGTCCCCCATGTGTGATGAGGCAGGGATATGCTTTTTCACTAGCATTCCGCTTTACAATCAGTATGATCATTTAGCAGCCACAACTGAAAGAGCTGGGATTGCAGTCACTGAGCAAAGCAGCCATGTGTTGTCTCACTTAACTATCATTTTGCTCAATGACTAGAATGTCTGATCCCAATTGTGGTGGTAAGTCTAAGACTACCTGTCATTCCATTGATGAGAGGGTGGGGGATGCAAAAGAAATATTAACAACCAATTCACTAAATTTATTGTAATCTAAGATTATATTTTGTTTTGTTGACATTTAGTCATTCAGCTACTTCAGCTAATGCACCAACTAAAATCAAAATATAGAATAGAATAGAATAGAATAGAATAGAATAGAATAGAATAGAATAGAATAGAATAGAATAGAATAGAATAGAATTTTTTATTGGCCAA